GTGTAATTAGAGTACTGATGCTTATTGACGTTACCTGTTTGTGAAAGATGTTCAAGCTCCTTTAAATGGGTAAGGTATCGAAGCTTTGCCTTTAGTTGTAAACATGTAACGTTATAAACGGTTAAATACATTTCTCGTTCTGTATTTCTACATATTGTTAGAAACGCATTCTTTTCACCTTTAATACCACAGGTGAGTCCTAAATAGACGATACAGGTAAATGGTGTGGTAAAACATGGTTACTTTATTTCGATTTCTGCATCAACAGACACAATTGGACTGTCATACATGTTATCATGAAAATAAGGGAGTTTCCTCGACTTTAAAAGTGTCTTAATATCATTCATATCCGAGGACAAACGTTTGGATTTTTGATATCTGTCCGTGAATAATTTTTGACATTAACAATGGTATTTTTCAAACATTATTCCTTCAACACGAAAGTGCTAACAATACAGAAACATCGATTAGGTAAACTTAACTTAAGTGAGATGAGCATTTTTTATAAACATTGTTTTTGCACTCTCCATGTCGTGACCTCTGATGCATATATATGGTACATCTGCAGTTATAAGGCTTGATCTTTGATAGAGTTTTTTTTTCTCTCTAAAAAATGATTTGATTCAATTCAGTTTATTCCAAAAGCAGTACAGCTTATATGAGTCATAACATACATATGTTAAACATAGTTAAGTAATTGTATACAAGCTAGCGGAGGCTGAACGATGTAAAACAATTTCAATCCTTGTTATAAATTGTGCAATTAATGAATGTACTATACAAGATGACACAATAATATTACTATCAGCTGTCACGCCTGACAGTGGCAATACACAAAATATATCAAGGTTATTAAGTTGTTTACCTTCCTTAGACAGAAGAGCGACGCCAGAAATATGGCTTAATATCTTTTGATCTAATATCAGAATAAAAAGTACAGACTAGAATAAAATGGAACTTGTCTTCTACACATCGACTATTACATTTGGCACACATTCTAAGGTGTCTCGCCAAATTGATATACCTTCCAAATTCAATACTAAGACTATGCGATGAAAGCCTGTATTTACAAATAAGTTCTTATATCTATCCGTAACAGGTTTCCATAAATAATATTGCAGTGTTAAAGTATCTACTAAGTGTTTGTAATAACAACACTTAGAGGAATTGGTAAAATGTATTAAAGTGTTAAGAAGGTAACAATCTTTTACTCTTTGCTTGAGTTCAGAAATAAACATGTTTTCATTAAATACGTTCTGAGCATACCGTATCTCAGGAAAACCATAAGTACATAGAAGCTCTTTTATCTTTGTTACCCAATTGACATTACCCGACATACAGTCATCAAATAATACGTAATAACATGAGGTTAAGATATATTTATTTGACATGAGGAGCTTAGACCAATATTTTACAATTTTATTTATTCTTGTCAAATACATTGGATATCTTCCTAGTTTAAAATATAACATAGCATGTGATGAAGTCTTGCGTACAGAGAGTATTTTCTTTAACAAATCATTTAAAAACCCTTTTTCTGTTATATCACCTTTATGGTGGCCCCATACTTCGCAACCATAGTTAGGTATGCTGTCAATATAACGTTACGTATCAAACGGTGAAAACAGATTTTCAACATTAAAATAGTGGTGTTTAATACTTTTAAGTAATCCAAAACACAGTTTTTTAACAATGTTCAATGAGTTTCGTCCGAGTTTGTAAAAAGGAACCATTATAATTAAACAAAACTCCCAAAGGAATGTAAATGAGTTAACTATTTCAATAGGTACATCATTATATAACCATTTTACACATGGCTAAACATGATTAGTATTTGCTTTCATCTTATCAGCTTGTTATTATTTATCTAGTTGGTGTTTATCAAAGTAGCGTAATTAAAGAGGATCCTGCAATGAAACCCAGCCATGAGTCGATACATCTACCGTATGGGTATGTAACCATTTTTATATTAACATGTTTTTAGTTACTCTCAAAATATGATGTGCTAGACTGTGCATACAATATCAATATATGCATGATGTTTATGTAATTTGTTTCATGATAAGTTAACCGGGTAAGACAAATATTTTTAAGAACGATGTACAAACAAAATACCTGAAGCCGAGTAATTGCGTTAAAATATCACACTGTGTTTCTTAAAAGCAAGAAACTTATAGAAGTTATATAAATATTCTTTTGAAACTCTAAACGTCATACATAAATCACAGCCTATAAACAGTTTAACTATTACTGTTTAAGTAACAAAACAAAACAAAAACAACAAAAATCCGTTGTAGAAAAAATGTTCTGAAACAATACTAAATTGTTTGATTAAGAAGTTAAATAAGAACAGGAACATTTTTTACTAAAAGTTAAAGGAAAATATGTTGAGATAAACCGTTTTTCTAAACATATATAGTATATTAAGCACTGTGTTTTATATGAGATATGTTGTATTTATGAAATAAACGTCTTTAGAAGTTTTATGCATACGAAATACTTCCTTCAGCGAAATAAACTGTTAAAACAACAATAGTATTTTCCAAACATTGTTCCGCCAATAATAAAGTTCTAAAATAAACAAAACAAGGATTGTGGAAATTTATTCCTTTAAAACATCTGTTTTGTTTCTCTTTCATGTCGTGCTTTGATCGTTTTTAATTTAACAATTTTGTCTTGATTAATTATTGCTTCCATCTTATCACCTACATGATAAACACAATCTAGACACCTTTCGCGTTAATTTTAGTCAAAGCAATTTTATCTGGAGCGTAATAAAAGAGGCTCGCGTGCTGAATAAGACCTACATTGATACATCTACCTTATGGGTATATAACCACTTAAAATTAACACTTTTAAATACACTTAAAATACAAATAAGATATGATATGCTACACTGCATATACAATATCAATATTAGATATATGAATATGCAATTTGGTTCCTGTGAATATGAACAAGTCAGCCGAGTATTGTGAGTTAATTGTAAAGCAGGACACCTGTCCAAAATACCCTAAGCTGAGTCACGTCTGTACAAACAGACACCCGTTAATAGACATTAAGGGGAAATAAATCGCATCTAAATATGACCCATTACTTAAGAAATGAAATAATGACAGTGTAATAGTGACTGTGTGAGAAGATGGATGAACCGCTCACTACCGATATATTTACCATATCCAGTTTTAACACTTTAAAAATATTTAAATTCAATTTAACCTTTCGAAAGCCTCAACGTAATAAGCACATCATAGCATAACTGATCAAAGTAAATAGCTCCATTGGACTTAGCGAAAGTTTTTAACACGATATTTTTGTTCATTGCTGAATCACAACACATGATTATAGGTTGTTGGCGTGTTTATGGTTGATGTATTTATATGGAGTGTAAGCAATGGGATAAACTGAACTTCTTTTCTATTCTAAGGACCAAAACCCGTTTAATTGACTCGGGTTTTGAATGTTACAAGGTTGAGGTACTGATGTAGACTGTCAGCAATGTGCTAAACCATATTTTTTTTATATCTTAGGGGCCTAAAGTATGTGGAACTTTTTATGACACTGATTTTGTTTTCTAAATATTAATTTCAAAGCTCTGTAATTGTAATAATGATTGTGAGGTGCGGATATACACACTCAATATGTGTATATATATAATACTGCAACTTCACTGTAGCCAATATATTGTATGGTTACATATATTGTATGGTATGGTTACATATATTGTATGGTTACATATATTGTATGGTATGGTTACATATTTTGTATGGTTACATATTTTGTATGGTTACATATATTGTATGGTTACATATATTGTATGGTATGATTACATACATTGTATGATTACATATATTGTATGGTTACATATTTTGTATGGTTACATGTATTATATGGTTACATATATTGTATGGTTACATACATTGTATGCTATGGTTACATGTATTGTATGGTTACATACATTATATGGTTACATGTATTGTATGGTTACATATTTTGTATGGTTACATACATTGTATGGTTTGGTAACATATTTTGTATGGTTACATATATTGTATGGTTACATATATTGTATGGTTACATATATTTATGGTATGGTTACATGTATTGTATGGTTACATGTATTATATGGTTACATATATTGTATGGTTACATACATTGTTTGGTTTGGTAACATATTTTGTATGGTTACATATATTGTATGATTACATATATTGTATGTTACATACATTGTAAGATATGGTTACATATTTTGTATGGTTACATCTATTGTATGGTTACATCTATTGTATGGTTACATACATTGTATGGTATGGTTACATATATTGTATGGTATGGTTACATATTTTGTATGGTTATATATATTGTATGGTTACATATATTGTATGGTTACATGTATTGTATGGTTACATGTATTGTATGGTTACATACATTGCATGGTATGGTAACATATTTTGTATGGTATGGTTACATATTTTGTATGGTATGTTTTCACATTTTGTATGGTTACATATTTTGTATGGTTACATGTATTGTATGTTTACATTATTGTATGGTATGGTTACATATTTTGTATGATTACATACATTGTATGATTACATATATTGTATGGTTACATATTTTGTATGGTTACATGTATTGTATGTTTACATTATTGTATGGTATGGTTACATATTTTGTATGATTACATTATTGTATGGTATGGTTACATATTTTGTATGATTACATACATTGTATGGTTATATATATTGTATGGTATGGTTACATATTTTGTGCAACAACAAAATGATGTTCAAAATAACTATACCAGTTAGGCAACCTACAACATGCTATGCTGCACGCTTTTCCAATGCTATTAACTAACATAAAATATTGTAAGAAATGAGCTATGTTGTTCTCCAACAGCTCTTGTTTTATATTAATTACTTTTTGCAAGGGCGATAATTCAAACAATCAGGAAAGCATGCTTGGTATATTGAAAAGAAAAATCACTAAAACATCGGTGTTGTATACATTTTATTATAAGATTTGATGTAAGTATAACAGTGACACAGTTGTGACATGTGTGATTGTAAAAGTGTTGAATATTGTAAAAGGTTTTCCAGAGAACCGAAAGATGTTTTAGGTGTTATCACAGAATCCGTTCGTACCTCACTGAGAAATAAATCAAATTCAACCATTTTAAGACCATGATTATTGAAGATTACAACGATAGAATTTCCATTAGCTCATTCTAGGTAATCACAACAACCTCTCAGTCAAACACACCAACACTAAGCACATTTACAATCTCATATGATTTCCATGGATTTTGCAAGAACACAAAAGAAAATGAATGAGTATTCAACTTCATATATTTTGTTTTCAAATTCAAATTCCACACAGAAATATTCTTCTCCCAGAAATATCAGCGTATCTCCTGCTATTGTATATGACATATTATTGTTAAAAATCCTTAATTATATGTCCGTGTGTACAGGGGTATTGCAAATTGTAATATAACAATGAAAAAAAACAGATATATGAACAACACAACAGGTCAAAGTTCACAACTCAGAGTCGATTTGAAACTCTCACGTAAGAAAAACACCGAACGTTTGTGCTAACATTAGACTGATAATCAACACGCATGCATTCCGAACCCTGTAAATTATCTTGTAGAGAATACATTTCATTAACTAAATTATATTAACTCAATGTACTCGGCCAGTTGTACCTATTCTTTTTCTTCAAGTTGATAGTGTTCACACTAATACACGCTGTTCATACGATATAGCTGTACGGCGTTGTCATTTCATAACTCCACCAAATTAAGCATGGATGTCATATCTCTACTGTTAACGGTATCAATATAGTGAGGTCATTTCAATATTGCATAACATAAATACTTTTTGAATACAATTTTTTCAAGAGCGTGCCATCACGAATGAAAATATTCAAGTATTCTGCCTCTTCGAAAAATAAAGATAACATTTAACTAGAAGCCTTAAATATTCTGGAATTATATACACATAAACTTTAAAATAAAGGAAAAACCCATGTCACAAATTGTAGAAGTGATCAGAAAATCTCTTAAACATTGTTGGCAGACTTCTTTTTATGAAGTCTGACATATATGACCTTACAAACATTCACAATGCCGATATTTTAAACGAAAATATGAGTAATGAACTGCCTATTGTTTGGTCACACACAATATCAATGTTCAATGGAGGTAACTGGCATACCTGTTGACTACAAATGCCAACAGAAGCAGTTAATTGCATAGACAATAAGCCAAGCTAAGTATTTCAAATCAAATAATTTCAATTTTAGTTTTTAATTAACATTTATAAAAGAGAGAAAAAAAAATCAGTCAAAAATAAGAGTATGTACGGCACCCTCCTCGTGTACTTTTAATACCGGCGTTCTGCGTAGGTCGCCCTGGGGACGTAGGCTGGTTCCTCCGCAGTTGAGTACCTGTACGTTTTCGGAGCGGACACATAGGTTGGAGACGGCGGTCGGATGGATGTGCTAAGACGAACAGGGGCGGGTCTATCAACTACTTCGTATCTAGGTGCTGGCTGTTCTATTCTGTAAGTTTGCGGTGCCGCCGCGATAGATCTGGAATGAACAGGTCTCTCGTAAGACATTGTACGGAGAGGTTCTGGGCTCGGAGGTCGGTACACAGGCTCCAGCATCATTCTAGGGCGTTGTTTGTAGGGTTCCTCTTCGTCAGTGAAATGACGTTTGAGAAAAAAGATGAATAAAGAAATTATAATGAGAATGGCGCTAGCTGCGGCTGTTAGACCGAGGGAGTAGTCGGCCTGCAAGTCAAAGGTTCCTGCAAGGTTTCCTTTTCCGTTACCGTCCCGTATGACGGCCACATAAAACCAAATCACCGTGACCATCAGGCAGATACCTGGATAAAACATTCAGACATTAGTGTGTGAATAAACATATTCATCAATTACCTTAAAGACGTTTATTGAGTTAGCATACACCTGGAGGTACCTCGTAGATGTGAACGATGAACGTAACACACACGCAGGTAATTGCACCTTTTAATGAGTAGTTTTATAAATAATTATTAACATTTTTGTGAACCCCGCACAATCCATATAAAGAAAAGAGGTTTTCTCCAGGTACTCCGGCTTCCTCCCACACTAAGACCATCTATGAACTGACAGCCAGGCCAACAAGAGAGATTATCATAATTTGTATATAACTTGTTTAATAATTATTGTAAAATAAATAAAGTTTATACAGTATGTTGAAGTTGGAGTGCTCTCTTACCGATTTCCCCTTAATTATACTTATTGTTTCATTCATAAACAATTTCATTGCATGCATAATAATTTCTAATTCTCTCTCACTGTAACTTATCGTAAATGTCCGGAAATAAGAACAGGTAGGGGTTGAGGAAATAAAAAGAGCAAAGGGGAGATAACGAGTATTTAGATTTCTCACATCTCAGTCAGGGATGCCTCATGTTACACCCCTTTTGATTTGATTTCGTCTCTCAACTAACTTTACTTAACATTTGGCGCCAAAGATGTAATGCTAAAAGATTTCGAACAAAGGAGGAGTGAGAAAAGAAATAAATAACCTGTTATTGAGCGAGATCGAGGCTATCTCAAGTCTCAATTTGGATTATGTTACAAATTCTTAGCTCTCGACTGAGATGGCCCAATCTTGCGTAGTTTCAGGTTATAGAGTGCAAATGAGTGATCGCCGACATACAGCTTTTTAATTCCTCACTCAAGTTTATTATTATTATTACCATTTAAGCCAGGTACGTTTCTAAGATTGCCGACAACACGTACAAGTTTCAAACAAGTACATGCACATATTTGACAATAGTGTGTAGTTATACTGTACTTGCATGAAATGAACAATACCCAAACAGTTAGTTTGTTGTTGTAATTTGGCGGCCGCTATCGGTCATCGTAATACGATGTATTTAGACTTAAACTATGTAAAAGTTAAAGCTGGGCCCGGGTGTTCAAACAGTGATTACCTTAATCAGTGATTAGCGCAAATCTTATTGTTTTTGTATCTTTAAAACAAAGCTATTAACCGAGTTTACACTTTCGCGATAGCAAATATTTTAGAGGAGTAAACTGCATACAAAATTACAAACTTTTACCTTGTGTATTAACCAAATTATTAGAGGTTGAAAAATGTCGTTAAACAGTGATTAGGCTAATCACCTTTTTAACAACTGGGCCCTGATGCTAAAGATGTGCGATGGTCATACTGTTCATATTATAAGATGTGTTATGATATTGGAGGATGTCTTACCGCCTAAGAGACACAGCCAGGCGACATACATGAATCTCCTCCGCATCGAGTGGCAATTGAGTCCCCCGCAGTCATCTTCACAGTTAAACACTTCACACAGGACGAGGAGGACAGCAGCGGCTGCCAGGACAAGGCCGAACACGTGGAACACTATACAGCCGACGTAGTCATCTGTCAATGGAAGTACTCTAGTTATCAAATTAAAATAAGAAAAATAAAACTTCGTAAGTATTCAGAATCATTCATAAAAGAAGTATTAATTTTTACTGCAATGAGTAATATTATTTAGATATTTTTCATTAGTGAAATATCAAACACCTCCAATTAAAATACCGAACACAAAACAACTTTTGTACATTTGTACATACAATAACCAGTCAGAAAGCTTGAAACGTTCGTGTTTGGAACGGTCACTGATTGCGACAACATTAAACGTCTTACACAGTGTATATCAAACCTGAGTGCCCTGCCCACATTATGAAATAGTTTGACGTTTTGTAGCATTGCTGTTGTTGCTCATTATCAGATTCTTTATTTGGAAGTTATAAAAATATAAATACATATTTGAGTGAATATTTATATCCAAATAAAACCTTTCGGGGAAACCCTCTACAACCGTCGTAAAACGCATAGGTTTGGTCATTATTTAAATAATAAAACAATATTGGATTTTTCAGCAGGATTGTTCTTCTAAACAGAGCTTTACTATTGAATACAATTAAAAACGTTTTAGACTATTTTAATGGTAAATATGTTGTCATATCATACAACAGGTTATATACTAATTTGATGACAAATATGATCTCATATCATACAACAGGTTATATACTAACTTGATGACTAATATGATCTCATATCATACACCAGTTATATACTAACTTGATGACTAATATGATCTCATATCATACGACAGGTTATATACTAACTTGATGACTAATATGATGTCATATCATACGACAGGTTATATACTAACTTGTTGACTAATATGATGTCATACCATACAACAGTTATATACTAACTTGATGACTAAGATGATGTCATATACAAGTTATATACTAACTTGATTACATATACCGGGTGTCTATTTTGATATTTTGTCTGACAGTGCTTAGCCGAAATTATCTTATCAGTTACACTAGAAATTTCAGTATCTTTTGCACGTTTAACTAAGATACTGCAATGCAAATAAAAACACAGATCTGCGTATAACTCTCTTTTATTTCTCAAACTCTTTCTTCTCTTTCTGTTCTTCTTTCCTATGTTTCTGTTCTCCTTTCCCATCTTTCTATTCTAATATATAAAATGCATGTACACTACTTAAAATGTATGTAAGAATGTCAAGAATGAAAGTGTGTGTAAGTGATTATGTGATAAGAATTGTTTGTACTTATGTATTGTACAATATATTGATGAAAAAAATTACAAAAAAATAAATATATATACTAATTCGATGGTTTATAGGATGTCATATAATACAACAGTTGGACTAATTTGATGGTTTATAGGATGTCATATCATACAACAGTTGGACTAATTTGATGGTTTATAGGATGTTATATCATACAACAGTTAGACTAATTTGATGGTTTATATGATGTCATATCATACAACAGGTAGACTAATTTGATGGTTTATAGGATGTCATATCATACAACAGTTAGACTAATTTGATGGTTTATATGATGTCATATCATACATCAGTTAGACTAATTTGATAGTTTATATGATGTCATATCATACAACAGTTAGACTGATTTGATGGTTTATAGGATGTCACGGCTTCGCCTTGGTCAATATCACTTTTTCAGCTTCATATCGCATTATATTCACAAGTACAAAAGTCTATAATTATGTAACCGTAACCAGTTCAAGGAATTGTGTCGGGACATTTTAAGTGGCTTTGTAGCCCGTACAAACTATGATGAATTTTTATATAAAGTAATAACACGGTTAAAAAGCTAAGTCTTAAGTGGTCAATGAAGAATAACAAAGTATAAGTGCAGGTGTTCAATACAAAGTACATTAATACATTTAGTTTTTAATACATGTCCTTGGAAAATACAAAGCACATGCCATGTCATCTTTGTGACCAACAAGACACGTCGTGGTCAGTACAAAAGTGTACTTTGTATGTGTCATTAATACATGGCTAACAAATGAGATCTTTGCAACCAATACAACGGACGGCTTCTGTGGCCTATACAAATGACATGTCTGTGGTAAATTATTTGTGAAGAGTGCATATATATCGGAATGCTTTGTATATGTAACTGGTATAATCATCATTTTGGAAAACTACAAAACTCCATACATCTACGTGGAAGATTAATCCATCAAGGTTTGTGAAAAAATTAGCATCAATTTTTTTTTGTGGAAGTTTCACCCTATCAGCGGTCTTGAAAAAGAATTAAAAAGTTTCAAGATTATATTGTGGTGAGGTCAATTGTACGAATGCTAATAAAAGATCTGTCTATACTTAACGTATATCGTACTGTACTGTATATGGAAAGGTAGGTGCCATCAATGTTTGTAGTCTATATGGTACTATATACCACTTACCGGTAGAGTGATAAATTCATTGTCATGAGTTGTCAGTATGAAAATACTCAAGAAGAGACTGAGAAAACTTTGACAACAACTTGACAATGAATATTTCTAATTTCGAATGTATTTCTCAAAGAAAGAACAACTGTTCAAGCCAGGTCACGTCATAAACAGGAAATTGTATCCACCCAAAGGTGATCCGCGTAAGAAAATAGTCTATATCATAACGAAGGCTTTCACGTTATAGCCGTGTGTTAAACCGACCGTTCTATTCTATTTTTACTGTATTCGTAACGCTACGGTTAGATGGTCCGACGAAAGTTGTTCGGCAACTCCACCAACAAATTGTTACACCCTAAAACTGATCTCAAACAGCCTAGTCTATTACATTTGTAGTATCGTATAACCGGTTGTCTGACACGGTATTCATCCGGGTGAGTAATGACCTCATGGTTGTTCTTAAGAAGACTTATTAAGCACTACCGCTAGGTACATAGTTAAAGTGTTGGTGTTTTTCGTAATAAATGTTAGTGATAAGGATTGGGGTATTATGCTATATAATGCCGAACCTAAACTTTATACACGATATTTAACAAGGTTTAAACACTCAAACCATGACTTCTGCCGATAAGAGTCATTCTTTATACACACTAAACAGCGTTCCTTATACAAACTAAACAGCGTTCCTTATACACACTAAACAGCGTTCCTTATACAAACTAAACAGCGTTCCTTATACAAACTAAACAGCGTTCCTTATACACACTAAACAGCGTTCCTCCTACACACTAAACAGCGTTCCTTATACAAACTAAACAGCGTTCCTTATACACACTAAACAGCGTTCCTTATACACACTAAACAGCGTTCCTTATACTAACTAAACAGCGTTCCGTATACACATTTAACAGCGTTCCTTATACACACCAAACAGCGTTCCTNTATGCTGTCTTGTCCGTTTTTATTAATAAACAATGATCTCCTTACCAATGTATTGTGTCATATTCATTTTAGTATTTGATGATACTAATAACTAAAATAACAATATCCTCAACAGTTAACACTGTACCAGGTTGAACTTATGCACAATAAATTAACAAGCACAACACACATAACCTTACCACTGTATCTTGTCAGCTTAAGGTAGTCTATATAGTTGTAGCATGTCGACGAAACACACACATCGAAGAATCCTGCTGTGAAAGAGACGGTGTTTAACACAACACCTCTGTACCAATTCGGGGTGCCAAACCCTGCAGCTGCCAAGACGAGGGCGATGAAGAGGACGATGAGAAGGATCCAGCGGTTAGAAATGTCCTGCGCCATGTTGTCTGGAGCCGTGTGGGATTACCGAGCCTCCTGTATATTCCGTTTACAATACTTACGGGTATATTTGAGTTTGCGCTCGCATACAAAATACACAGGTGTATACACACGCCCTATTTGAATGTCGTCTACATTCCTCGGTTGACTTTTTCCTGTAAATTTGTGTTTTATGTATCCTTACTCGTTAGAGTGTGAAGTGAAGGTAATCGGTTGATGTATTGTGGGCTGGCTTGGTAGTCATTCATGTATGACTAGTTTTGTTCACACAATGGTTTCAACAAAAGGTATGTCTTCATTGTCTACACTGTACAGTTTCATTATGATTTAGCGGGCCACGAAATTCACCAAGATCAGCAAAGCTACGTATATATACTCGATGTTTATGTAGGCCAGAACATGTTGACAAATTGATGTTACTTGGGAACTGGTTTGCTTGGGAAAATGTTCTTTTTGAATATCACCCGTGCAGATCGGGGATTGAGGAAGCTGACCACTGCCTGTTGTAAGAGGCGACTAATGTGGGGAACCTCTGCAGAATTAGGGATTTCCCTTTGTGCACTCGACGTGACGGCTGATATCATATCACACCCAAGAGAACAAAGTGTTTGTTTGAAGTATATTTTTACTAATGTACGGGGTCATGGTGCCTCCTATACCCTTATCTCTTCCTGTAATCCAGTACAATTAGTTCCCAGTGGATGGCGTAATTAAGACAGCCCGTCGCTAGAGTATCTGTGTCAGTATGTAAATATTTTGTATTAATTATAAGTTTTTATAAGTTTGTTAAAATCCTTCAAACTTTACATGTATTACTAGAGCGGTAATATAAGTATTATTGTTTTTGTATTTTTAAAATTATTTTATTGTAACGTTTGTCTAACTCTAACGCCATCTACCTTAATACAATATACATGTACCTCTACCTGAGCATTTGTCACCTGCATTGTATTGTCATGTTAATGTACTGTCAAGATATTTCAATAAAATTGAATCAGTAACTTAGATATACTGGCGATTCCAAAATTACGACAATTTCGGGCCGACAATTTCGAGTGACGCGTCGGAACACGATGCAGAAATGGAGCGATTTCTGAAAAAAACTATTATAGCTAAGGTATAGAAAAACTGCCTCTAGGTGCAAAAAGTGTTATTTAGTTATTATACGCTGAAAAATTTGATTGTCAGTGCTTTGTTCTCGATAACTCCATCTGACTCACGCTATTTGTATGAACTGTGTTATGAGGCCAGATACTACAAGCTTAGGGGGCTTCAGACAGCCAGTGGAACTTTATCAGACAAACATCATTGGGCAAGGATTTCCGAATGACAACCAGCTGTGTTAACTTGCGGGAAGCTGTGTTTTCGGGAGACGCTAGTAAATCACCTGGATTGCTATGAGATATGTGTAAAAATGTTACGCGAGTGTTAGCATTATTTGGTATGATACGCGAGTGAATCCAAGGATTTCGCGCTTCCGGGAACTACAGAAGAAACTTATATTATCATGAAGCATTACATTTTCTTTACTTTTCAAAAGTATTGAGGTTTTTTTTTTAGAATAAGATGCCATTTAACAAATATTGTGCAAGGAGAAGTAGACAGTGGATACATTCGAAATCTAAATATTTCCCTTTATTAATTTTAAAAACCATACTTAACAACCATTTGGAGACCAAATTCTAGCAAGAAGGGGGCAATGTAATGACCCTACCTATTACAATCTTTAAAGCATTACAGTTTAGATAGTACATATTATTGTCGGTTTACCAATGTAGAACGTTATGACTATCTTGTAAGTTTATTTGTAACGAATATCATCGCTATATGAGTGGAGAATTTTTGTAAGAACACTGTATCTCTTTAGGAATGAATGTATGATGTAGTTGAAATGTATATACTATATGTTGATTGGGCTCAGTTCAGTTCAGTTTCTTTGTTTCCGAGAGCCATCAGACTCATAGGTTGAATATCAAATAATTACATCATGTAGTACATGTACGAGAGATTATTATACAAATTTAAATTGATGAAATGGAGAGTTAGCTTACAAAGTACACAAGTAGTTTTCCATATCAGACATTGATTTCTCTACGTTTTCTCGTAGCACAATATAAATACTTTCCTAGATTGCATAATTCTTTTACATTTGTAGTACTCAATATTTTCGTTAACTTCAGCCATTAGCTATTGGCATATTACGACAAGTTACCGATCGCGATCTTGGAATATTACAGTGATCAGTCTCGTACTCGAGGTCTATTCTCACTTCGGTTTCTATACTAATTGTACAAGAACATCAAGACTATATTTCCGAAAAAGAAGAATGTTTCCTGTCATTAATGTGCCATACATATTATCCTGATGCGTTTCCAATTGGGACTGCATCGCTCAGCTGGTATTAATCTCACAATTGTAACCTTAAAAGTAAACTAAAATAAAGCTACAGGAAAAATATCAGTGTCTTGACTCAAAGTCATTAAAAAAACCTGTTTTAAGATTTTAACGCATTTGACCCCTGTAACCTTGAAAGTCAAACAAGGACATTACGTTGAACAAACTTCATCCCAGAATGCAACTTGGTAAATATCACTTCCATTTACCTTATGCTTTTTTGAGAAGATGAATTTTAAAGATATATACACAAATGACCAGATGTGAGCTTGAAAGAGTGTCAAGGTCATTCACATGAATAATCTTGATAGCTCTTCATCTGAGCATGCTACCGGTCACATATCACCATCCTTTGCATTTCGGTTTTTCAGAAGAAGTCCTTTTAAGTTTTCTTTACATATTTGACCCATGTGACCTTGAATATAATTCATAGCCATTCTTTTGAACAAACTTTTCAAACCTTTTATCATAGCATACTATTTGCTAAATGTCATTAATATAACATGCTTTGTTATAATGTCCATGTTGGAAAAACGATAGAGAAAAGTGAGGACATTTCAAACAATTACACAAACATTTTCACATGAATGTTATCAATAAAATATAAACAGCCAAATTTCTTTCAAATTTGTTTTCTAATGTTTATTTTGTGTATGAAATAAGACATTTGTATATCACCAGGAAATTATATCAAGTCATGTAGATTAGTTGATATGTAAAAATTAAATGTCAATTGTCCATCCTTGTTCTGGCAGGTATTCTAACACAATGTTTCTTCACACAGATAAACTATGCATGCACACAATATTGGAACATGTGGATTACCATTAACAAAAAGGGTGCAGTCATTCTAGCAATTGATATCTGTCGTTACATGACATAGGCGTAAGAATATATGAAAAATACATATCGTGAGTCAAGTCTACGCCTTTGTTGTAACGGCTATAGCTGTAAAGCATTTTCCATGACATAAAAATAAAGATTTTATTGTTGATTTTAATATCTTCTGATAAACGATAAAAAGGCTGATATCAAGTCATTGATTATATAACTCTTAGGATGAGAATTGTTTTCTGCGTTTGCTGTTTGTTTTGTTTTTGTTTAATTTAGTCGCTTGTTTCAGACAAAATTGACTTTATATGCAACAACTCTTCCAGCATGCACTAGCCCAGAACAATCCCCTTCGCTTTGAGTGAATATATCGGCTATTGTTGATGGATGACTTTGAGCGTTTGTTTGTCTGGAGATTGATTTTGAGCGTTTATCTAGTATCTAGTTTTACAATTATCCATGTACGTGTTGTTGACATTGGCATTTTCACAATGACGTTCGACGAAGTCTGTTCAGAAAGGCAGCTGACACATCTAGGACCAGACAAAGTAAGGTTTATTACGACTTTCCAGTTTTTATAGCCGCCGCTGGACACTGACAGACAATTTAGTCACGTTACCAAACCCGCAGTAATTGTAAAGAGTAATGATTCCCGAAGACAGCACATATAAGAATGCAGTGTAGGGCACCATTACATTGGTGGGACAAGGTTGTTGTGCGATGTATTACACAATTTACAACTGAAAATAATCTCAAATCTATAAATGAAACTAGTGACCAATGAAGACTTTATTTCCGACTTTAAAATAGTCTTGTAGAAGTAGCTGATGTGTATTTTGCGATGATAAATTCCATAGTTATTGTGGGTATTGGGGCTTGTGCATGTCTAACAACAACAACAATGAGCCTTAGTAGGGAATGTGTCATTTATATGTAAAGTTTGACATCTGGCAAGTATCTCTTTGGGGATATTTATTATTAACACCGTCGCTTACCAATGGTTATCATTATCACAACTCCGATTTTCAATAAATGAATATTGACATTTGTATTGATCATGATCGATTGGCACTGTTTATTTCTGTGTCATCAGTAATAATAAGTATTTATTCCATTGCTGTTCAGAAATAAATTATACAAATATTGCCAAGTGAAAACGTATTAAGAAATGTGCCTGCTATAGTCTTTTGTTATGTTTCTTTTGCCTTCTTCACCGGATGTTAATCATACCAATCATCAAGATCATTAAAGACAGGGTTCGATCCCCGAAGTCTTCGTACGCATGGCTATTCAGAGAAAGTGTTTTTCTCCTGCCCACAAAACTCCAACAACCCAGGTAGAGTGTAAATTGGTCTGGGGTGGATGTTTCGGTATCTGTGCCGTAGCATTCAAGTGAGGTGGTACTATAAATTCCCCAGCATACACGCAGGAATACACACATAGGGAGATATTAGCCAGGTGTTATATGATTAGTAGTTAGCGCCTGACAAGGCAATTCCTGCGCATTCCTCAAAATTGTATTGATTAATGTATATGCTAATTGTATGAATTGTATATCTATGTACTGTAAAGCGCTTTATAGTGTTAGCTAGATGGGGCGCTATATCAAATGTTGTATATTATTATTACACAAACGCGGGATTAAGACGGATATCTTCTCAATATCACTCAGTGTTTCAGATGTTTAATGTACATGTCTTTTAGTAGCTTACGTCTTGTTTTTTGATATATATTTCTAAATATTCTATCTTATCTTGAATCGAAAATCATCACTTTGATCATAGCATAACTCGAACCAAAGCAAACAATTTGTAACAGATCCAGGAATGTATACTTACTTGTACTGCCTATACTCTTCTTGAAATAAAGCATTTTGATTTTGATGTTTCACATGCGATCGCACATACGGAAACGTAGGCTGTCATCGGAATTTATATATATAATGGTAG